AAAAAAAAAAAAAAAAAAAAAAAAGACACAGAAAAAGTCCCTTCCAAACCTTACCCCAAACGTCAGATTTAATTGAGAAGGTATTGTAGGCAAGACTCTCTGGTGCTGTCCATTTAATAGGAAATTTGGCTCCCGCATGAGCAGTATAGGTGTCTCCAGTCATCAGTCTACTCAAGCCAAAGTCAGCCACTTTTACCACATGGTTTTCTCCCACTAGGCAGTTACGGGCTGCAAGATCTCTGTGGGAAAGAGAACCCTAATGTGATTCCACTCCGACAGTGAGGAAAATGGTCACGAACACATGCTCTATTCTTAGTTCTTTGTGCTACAAGCAGAGTTGATAAGTCTGTGCTGACAGATATGGTAGTATTTTATGATAGCTGCTAACATGGTAGAAAGCCACTAATTATCCACCACTTGGAGAGTAGTCATCAAGAGGCAGTTATGTGATACTAGAAGAAAGCAGACTTCAGAAAATGGGTCCCTATTTGTAAGTACACTGGGCTAGGTTTCAGAGGTGAGCAAAGATGCTTTTCTACAAGGCTTTAAGTTCTTAACTGAGACGGAAAGCTTTTTTTAAAATTAAGCCATTAGATGGAGCAAAAGGCTCTTGGATATAATCCTGGGCAAAATAAAGAGCATTCTGTTTTAAGAACGGCAAAGGCTCCTCACTAATACTTTAGCCAGAATACAGTAGGTTTATAAGATGGAAATGATATTATAGTGGGTGGGTCCTGTGAAAGAGAAAATTGCTTCCTTGGGTCATCTGGAAATTTCCAGGAAGGTCCTCACATCCTTCTCTTCATTTGCACATCAAGCAAGGTAGCTTCACGGTTAGAAATAGCAATGATTGGGCTTTACACACCTATGGATGAAATTCTTCTTCTCTAAATACTCCATTGCAGAAGAGATCTGAGTGGCCATATAGAGCAGTACGACTGCAGTCACTTCGTCTCGGTTGCACTCTCGGAGATAATCAAGCAAGTTGCCGTAGGGCATGTACTCAGTCACGATGTAAAATGGTGGCTCCAAAGTACACACACCTGATAGTTCAAGAATAGAGCTTGTTTTATTAGTATAGATTCAAAAATTCCACACCACTTCGTCAAGAATAGTTGACAAATTTTAAAGTCTAGTTCAGCAGTAATCTTTTCCCTTCTTGCCATCACATTCTCTGAAAGTAACACAGCAAAGGTAAGTTGCTGGTTGAGAAGGGAGTCTCAGCTTCCATTACATCATTCTCTGGAAATCCACATGCATTTGAGCATTTGCCTGTTTGGGCAAAGGCAGAGTTACTGACATTAATTCCATAAGGGGTCTGGAAGACCAAAATTTCTGGAGTTCTATATGTGCCCCAGATTCTGAGCCTCACCTGCACACTAACAATGTTTATCTGAAAGTAACAGCAATTGTGTATATGTTGAAAACTGTGTGAGCTCAGCCTGTATAAAGCTTTGTAAAAAGACTGCTTGGGGCGCCTGGGTGGCTCAGTCGGTTAGGTGGCCGACTTCGGCTCAGGTCATGATCTCGCGGTCTGTGAGTTCGAGCCCCGCGTCGGGCTCTGTGCTGACAGCTCAGAGCCTGGAGCCT